TATATATATATATATGTGTGTGTGTGTGTGTGTTGTTTGATGTCTTATGGTTCAGTTTTTGATCTTCATGATTTCATATTTCTATCTAGCTTGCCTTGAATGGTTGGACAGCCCTCACCTTTGTTGTCCCACGGTCCACTGTCCCAATCACCTACTTCACTGTCTCTCACTGTCCCAATCACCTGCTTCACTGTCTTCGTTGTCGAAGACCTCCCACCTTTGCTGACGCAGCCCGCCGATCCTCCCTTTTGTTGTTCCACCACTACCCCGCCATCGGCCATCTCCGTCGTAGCCTCACAAGCCCTTCCACTTTTTGTCATATCGTTGTCCAACCACCCCCAAAACAGCCACTCAAAATCCCTTCCCTGTTACAACTGTCACCTTCCAACCACCACCCAACTATCCCAACACTTCAAAACCCTGACGACCACCATCATCACTGTTGGGATCTGCTTTGAGATTTTTAGTGTTGTGTGTTTGTTGTTGTATTTCCTTTTCGTTGTGATATTTTAACCGCTTAATTGCTTCGAAAAATAATATTTATTTTTCCGTTGTTTTTTGAGGTAGCTCCGGTATCACCAAGAGAACCGAATATTCTTGAGAATAGCAGGAGATTGTATGATATCAGGGAACAAAAATATATCACCAATAGTTCAATAGCTGTCAATGTGTGCAGCAAACAAGCTGAGTGATAATTGAATAGAAGCAAAATATACAAACCAGATTCAACTGTAGAAGTTGGAAATAAGATGTTCAGAGACAAATCCGCCAGCGTCTGCAGAGCATCCAGTCCAGAGCTTTCATCTGCGGAAGGAAAAGAAAAAGGATGTAAGAGCATAAACCACCAAAGAGCATCAAATCCTACAAATCCTTGACAATTTATAAGATATACTAAAAAATTTAAATGAACAGGACCAGTTTAGAGCATGCAAAGAAATAGTGTGATGAATGGAAAAAAATAGGTAAATGAAAGAAAACTTTGCTAGGAGTGAATGCAAGGAAATAGTGCAGCACCATGGGTATTACTCAAGAGATGAATGGATATGGAGGATTCAGAAATATGGCACCATGGGTATCACTTTAACGGATGAAGGGAGACGGAAGATTCAGAGATTTGACATAAAAAGATAAGACTAATGAAAAAAGAAGTAAACAAGTTGGATATCACTAAAGGGATGAATGGAAAAGTGGGAGGGTGCTGACATCAAATAGTCATAATAATGATTGTCGCACCATTGGTTATTAAAAACAAACCAAAAAAATGAAGCCATGAGACCAATCTTAAGCAAATTAAAAGAAACAAGTATGATGATAAATGAATGAAAATGAAGTAAATTTCTTAACAGATGTTCTTATATCATTCAAGGATCATATTGCAGTATAGTGCATACATGAATGCGTTTAATGAACAACAATAATCTTAGATTCATAATGAAAACACAGTGAAACAACCAATGACCAGTGGTCAAAATAATTTTTCATACATACAAGCTATGAAATCAATTAAGAACTGGATGAAATTGCTGAAGTATACCACCACAAAATAGTTGGCGGCTTCGCTTCTTAGATCCTTTAGATGGCCGCAAAACTCTAGCTGCAGTATTATCTATTTCAGTGTCATCCCTAGTTTTTCTTACATTAACACCTTCCTCAGTACCACTACAAGCTTCCCTGTCATCATCAAATTGTTCGTCTACAAATGCGTTTGATCTCTTTCCTTGTACTTTCTTTGATTTTTGGCGGGTTTCAGATATACTAGCTTCTTTAAAGAACTCCCCATTCTCAGCCTCCCTGCTTCCTAAGCTGCCTTCAAGATGGTCATCGTCCACTTGACCATTAAAGGATTTGGAATCCCCAATCTGTCATCCAGCAACTTATTCTTATCAGGAAACAAGAATCGGCTTAAACATATAATTCACAGGAAAAGTGCTGCAAGCACAAAACCATCAATAATTACCTTTCTTTCACCACTTGGTGCGGGGGAATACATTAGGTGACGTCTTCTGCTTGGAGTTTGTGAAATCTGTGGTGATTCACCTCGCTTTGAAGCCTCAGCCAGCGCAAGTGCAGCCACATGGACACCCTCATCATCCACAGCATGGCACTCAGACTTTAATCCTTGCTTATGAGGTGAAACTACCCTATTCCTATCTTCCTTAAGAAAAAAAGGAACAGGGATGCGGGGGGTTCTCTTTCCAACAGCTCGAGGCCTGCTACCTGCAAATAAATCTGGCATCGATTCATGATTTAAACTCCATTTTATATCAATGCTACAGAATGGATAGCAACAAGATGCAAAATCTCAAAACTAACATCAAAACTAAGGATAGCAAAAATGTATAATGAGCCATTAAAGCCAAATATTTAATAAAAAGATAAAAAGGAAAAATGTATTGTTATAGATGCGGGGCTCATCTGGGAGCTCAACCGACCACTAAACTAGTACAGCAAGAGAACCGAAAGGGGGTCAGCCAGCCCTTTGGTGTGAGCTAGGGTTGCCACCCAGGTAAGGAGTTTTTCCTCCTATTTATCTACTACTTTGTATATGTTATTATATTTTGATTATGGTTCAGTTTTTGCTTCTGACTTTTCTGCCGTTGGCGTCTTTTCCATTGCTAGGATTGTATCCAAGGACAAATGATGCCCCGGTTGATCCTGCTCCGAGGTGGTGACTACCTTCACATATCTCCTCCCATTTCCCCTTGCCTTCTGACTACCGCAACACCCTGCGCACCCCCCTTGATGCAGCCACCTTCCTGCAACCGGCCTGCTTGCTGGCCGCCCTATTCCTAACCCCTCCCCGGCTAGCTGCCAACTCTCCTAAACCTCTGCCTGCTTGCTGCCATCTTCCTACACTCAGCCTCTTTGCTGGCCGCACCCTTCCTACCCCTCGCCTGCTTGTTGGCGCCCATCCTACACCTTTCATACCTATTGCCACCTTCCCTCCTCGTCCAAGCGGGGTTTTTTGTTTGTATGTCATTATTTTCCTAGTACAAGTGTCGTCAATTGTAAATCTATTTTCTTCTGCATAACAAATTATGTTTTTCCTATTGGGTTTTAGGGTTAATTCTGATATCAACTGGTATCAAAGCTAACCTAACCCTAATCATATCCTAGGGCATCCTCTCGAGGGCATCCCTAAAAAAACCATCCCCCCCCCAAAAAAAAAAAAAAAAAATTGCCCTCAAACACTATCTTCAAATTTTCAAACCCTCATTATACCACCCAAGACACACGTGTCGGAACCTACTCGAAGAGATATACAACGAGAGATTCGTCAATTTAGCATAGGTCGATGACCGAATCCAGAGAAATATTACCCTTGATCGTGATATGGAGAGTTGAAGAGGAGAGAGGGATGAGAAGTTAAATCTCTTTCATAGGGAGGACTTCAGTGATGAGAATGAAAAACCACGACGTTTTAGAATTCATTATCAAAGGAGGCCCACAGAGAGGTGACATATCACACGAAAATTTCAAAATAAAAGTGGATATACAGTAGTTTGATGGAAGAATGAATCCAAATAATTTCATCGAATGGTTGTAGTCGGTACAAAGAGAATCCAGAAGATAAGAGGGTGAAGCTTGCGACCACCAAATTGAAAGAGCACATGGTGTGAAAACTTGTATAGCAAACAAAAAGATAAGGCAATGACAAGATCATCAGGTGAGAAAAGATGAGGAAGATGATGCAGAGAAAATATTTACCACCTCATTATCGGCAAGATATGTTTCTAAGGCTCCATCATCTACAACTAAGAGATATATCAGTGGAGGAGCTCACAACACAATTTGACCAGTTGTAGATAAAGTGTGAGTTGGTCAAGCCAGAAGAACATATCGTGCCCAATATCAGGGGGTGGGGTGGAGGAAGATGATGCAGAGAAAATATTTACCACCTCATTATCGGCAAGATATGTTTCTAAGGCTCCATCATCTACAACTAAGAGATATATCAGTGGAGGAGCTCACAACACAATTTGACCAGTTGTAGATAAAGTGTGAGTTGGTCAAGCCAGAAGAACATATCGTGCCCAATATCAGGGGGTGGGGTGGGGAAGTCAGCTTCCAACAACATTGTGCAATAGCATCCATATTGGTCACAATAGAAAATGTTCAGATCTTAGCTTTGAAAATGGAAAGAAAGCAGAGATAAAACAGACAACAGGCATTATTCAGTCGATCACCTACAGTTGCAGCTATCAATAAGGCCACACATCGAGGAGTGGAAAGACCGGACAAAGAAGTGACAAGACAGATCTGAGTGAAAAGAAACCCAAAAAGGGTAAGTCGCCCAGCACGGTGCCTGTAATGAGATGTTTTAAGTGCCACAGCTATGGACAGAAAGCCTCCGGCTGTCCCACAAGCAAAGTTGTTTCATTTACAGAGCCGGGCGTCATCGAGGAAGTGAGGGAAAAGGAAGCACAGAAGGATTCAGAGGAGAAATTTCAGCTCTGAGGAGATGAGGGAAGATGCTAGTCATTAGGAGAGTCCTACAGATTGAGTCAGAGAAGGATCATTCAAGGTTGAGGTATAGTATTTTTCGCACCAAGTGTACGATGAAAGGAAAAGGTTGTTCTCTTATTAACAACTGCTGAAGCAATGAGAATGTAGTATACACTCTCATCGTGAAGAAATTGGGGTTAGCCACACAGAACCATCCACCTTGCTGAAAAGGGGAAATGGCATAAACGTAGATCAACAATGCTTGGTTGAATATTCTATTGAAGACCAACTTCAAAGCAAGCGTGGTACAACATTGTACCTATGGACGCTTGTTACAATTTTGTTAGGGAGGCCATGGCAGTTCGATTGCAAGACCCAAAATGACAGGTTCAAGCCCCTTACAGAGAAGACGGTAGTCTCAAGAGCCGCCTTCATGCAGTCGATGCGAGAGACTCCAGTGGCGATGGCATTGGTCCTATTAGAGGGAATTGAGGAGGTTGAGATACTAGTGCCTATACAGTCAATACTATGTGATTTTCAAGACGTGGTGACCAACAGACTTCCCGATGGATTGCCACCACTGAGAGACATTCAATACGTCATTGATCTCATGCTCGGATTTGTGTTGTCAAAATGGTCTGCCTACAAATTGAGGCCTGCAGGTTAGGAGTTCAAGCAACATGTACAGGTTCTCATTGAGAGAGGTTTGCTCAGAGAGAGTATCAGTCTGTGTTAACCCCGCCTTGATGGTACCCAAGAAAGACGAATCTTGGAGGATGTATATTGACAGTCAGGCCATCAACAAGTTACTATCAAATACATATTCCTCATACCTTGCCTGGACAATCTCTTAGATAAGTTGCAAGGATCCATTGTTTTTTCCAAGATTAACATATATAGCGGGTACCACCAGATCTAGATGAAGCCATGGATGTGTGGAAGACTACTTTCAAGACCCGAGATGGATTATAAGAGTGGACTGTCATGCTTTTTTGATTGTCTAATACGCCTAGCACATTCATGAGATCGATGAATCAGGTATTCTGAGCTCACATCGGTAAGTTTGTAGTGCACGTCGATGATATTCTAGTATGCAAGAAAGCCAAGGAGCACTAGCAGCACCAGAAAACTATAGTCGAGATTTTGCAATCAAAAAAGCTATACGCCCACCCAAAGAAATGCCACTTTTTGGTGGCATATGTATGCTTTTTGAGTTATATTGTGTCTAGTGTAGGCATTCAAATGTATCCCACAAAGATCGAGGTCATTGTAAGCTGAGTCGTAGGATAGGTCTTTTACCGAGTTGAGACAATTTATGGGGCTGTCATCATTCTATAAACGATTTATTAGGAGCTTCAGTACCATCACAGCTCCCCTGACAGAGTTTTTGAAAAAGGAGAAGTTCCAGTGGGCAGATGTAGCTAAGGTCGGTTTTGATACACTGGAAGAGGTGAAGGACGCAAATATTGGTAGATTTCAATTAGCTGTCCAAGGTGGAGTGTGAGGCCACCAATGTGAGGATCGAGGCAATACTAAAGCTGAGAGACCACCCCATAGAATTCTTCAGTGTAAAAGTTGACTGAGGCCAGGAGGAAATATTTGACATACGACAAAGAGTTCTATGCAATCGTAAGAGAACTTAATCACTTGAGTCACTACCTACTGACAAGTGAGTTCACCTTATTCACAAATCATGAGACTTTAGAGTTCTTGAACAATCAAAACAAACAATGGGTCAACATGCATCATGGGGGGAGTTCTAGACATTGTTCTAGTTTGTGCTTAAGCACAAGACTAGAAGCCAGAATCGAGCAACATATGCACTGAGCCGCCATCATTTGTTGATCACTTTGATGCAGACTTGAGTCGTAGGCTTCAATGTAGTGAAATAGTTATATGGGACAGACGAAGATTTAAGAGAGATCTGGAAGCAGTGTCAAAAGAAGCCTACAGAGCAGTATCACAGAGTTGATGATTACATGTTCCACTAGAATAAGTCATAAACTCCTAGCGTTCACTGAGAGAATCATTTATTCAGGAAAGCCACAACAGAGGTTTTGGAGGGCATTTAGGCAGGGAAAAAACTCTAGCATTTGTAAGAGAACATTTCTCGACTGACAAGAGATGTGGAGCGGCACAGCAGGAAATGTGGGATTTGTGATTCGGACAAAACTAAAAAACAAACTACACACTCCATTGCCAATATCGGAGGCCTCGTGGGTGGATGATAGCATGGATTTTGTGGTGGAACTCCCGAGAGCATAGTGGAGTAAGAATTCTGTGATGGTTGTGGTGGATAGATTCTCAAAGTTGATTCATTTCATACCCTGTCACTGGATGTTGGATGCATTGCATGTCACAGATTTGTACTTCAAAGACGTGATGAGACTACACAGGATACCAAGGACAATCACTCCCAACAAAGATAAGTTTTTGAGTCACTTCTGAGGACCCTATGGGAAAAGCAGAGCACTAAGCTTCATTTTAGTTCAGTAGCTCACCCACAAAAGAACGGTCAAATGGAGGTGGCGACCAGGAGTCTAGGGGAACCTTCTGGGATTCTTTATGGGGAGGAATATTAAGCTATGAGATTAGAATCTAACTCAAGCTAAATTTGCCAACAACAAATCTGTGTGTCAAACCAAGGGACACCCATTTGAGATTGTGTATAGGTACGACCCTCTCAATCCACATGCCTTCTTTACCACTGCTTCCGATATAATAGATTGGTGAGGATATTGAGGAAAGGGTGCAGGAGATTCAAAAGCTACAAGAGAAAGTAG